TCCAGGAGCGGACCCAGCAAAGGACATGGATGTACACACGTACACCCGAGAATTTTTTGCATAAGAACGAAATCAGGAGGCATAATAATACATGTATACACTTACAATTAGATCAGATCCGATTAAAAATAGCCAAAATAGGTAGATTAGGTTAAGCTTGGGGGTGCTCCGTTTCGCACAGAAGGCAGGGAATACAAGGGGGCAAGCATACCTAGTGGGTGCTTGGAGAAGGGCCTGATGAAGACGCGGGAACCTGGCGTAGAGCGGTAGTCGTCGCGGAGAGCGAGCGAGCGAGAGAACACGCGGGCAAACGGCGGCCGAGGAGGAGACAGCGCACCCGCGGTCCCGCACGGTGGCACCCGGCCTTCTCCTGGACCATAGGGGTGATGGGGTGTTCCCTTTTTTTCAAACAGTTTTTTTTTTTTTTTGCAATTTCGTTATTTCTCCTTTCTTTCAGTTTTTATTTTGACAATGACTAGGGGAACATTTATCAGTGAAATCATAATAATTTATTGGATCATTTTTTATGACTCTATTTAAGATTTTTTTTGAGAAATTATTACTCTATTTAAGATGGAACCTTATTCTCGGGAAGCTTCAAACATTTCTCTCTTTGAACAGCATTTTTCTCTTTGAACCTGAAACAATATTCAAGAAGCTAGAATATTTTTCTTTTGAACTAGAACTTTTTTCTTTTGAATATGGAACAATGTTCTCACTGTTGATGTCTCACCGACAGATTGATTATGAGACGGTATGCGTGTAATTTACCGACATGTTTGGAAAGTCAATCTAATTTTATTGGAGAGTCAAAACATCTTAAGTTTAACTAAAATTATAGAGAGAACTACAAAGATTTATGATATCAAATAGGTATACCATAGAAATATAATTAATGAAGAATCTAATGATATTTATTTTGTATCATAAATATTATTATTTTATTATATAAATTTAGTCAAACTTGAGATGCTCTGACTCTTCAAGAAAATTGGCATGAATTATAATTTGGGATGGAAAGAGTATATACGAGATAGATGTTGTTTGTTCTTCAATTGCTTGTAGGATGGGTGCCCTCTTGTGGCTACGTTGGTCGATGATCGTTAAAACAAATTAAGATTTTTTGAATAAAAATCTGATCCTCTACACAATTATGATATATATAGTTCTATTTCAGGAAAATGGCACCTAGCAAGGGCTATACTCCCTTCGTCCCTAAATAACTGTCATTTTTCTTTCCGAGAAATAACTTTGTGTGTGTATATATATATATATATATATATATATATATATATATATTAATATTTACGGTATAAAATTAATATCATTAGATATATCGTTAAATCTATTTTTATAACAAATTTATTTGAAGATACAAATGTTGCACGTATTTTCTACAAATTCAATTAAACTTATGGCACGGAAACCAAAAGCGACAGTTATTTAGGGATGGAGAGAATATATGATTGGGTGTGTCTCCACAGCAGTTGCCTGAAATTTTGCATAAGCTTCGGTCATCTTCAACCTCTTTGCTTCGCCGGGTGCCCCGAGCTAGCCAGCCCTTGGTGGCGTCCTGCCTCGTCGTGTAAGTGTGCAACTGCAGCCGCAAAAGCATCGCTTGCTGACCCGTGCGCCGGGCCGCGGGCCCTTCCTTGCTTGCTTGACCTGGCTATACCTACCTGCCCGTGCGCCCTGGACTGCACCGCACAGGAACCCCCGATGTGCAAGCGCCCCTGAGCTATCTAGCGGCGTCAGTGGACCGGCACGCGGTGCCTGGCTGGCTGGGAGAGATCGCCGGCCGGTCGGTGCCTGGCTGGGCACAGCGTCGGAGTTAATTAGTCAATCGTTCATCTTCTTGTGAGCCCATCGACTGACGGATAAGCAGATTATCAGGCAACTGTGCTTGAGTATTTCTCTATATGATTATGGTAGTTGATTGACTACGTCATCATTTAGACTAATGTTGTTGCTAGTACACTATTATATTATACAAGGTATTTAGTCTATCGAATGCAATGATAGACTTGGACAAAAGGCAACATGAAGATATAAGTGATCAACACCTAAGGAAGGGCACGAAGCTGTTGTTGAAGATTTAGAAGCAATGCAACAAGTCAAGACATCAAGTAGAATAAATCTGAACGGAAAGACGCGAAGGGAGTGGCTCACTATGCACACAGAGGAGCATCAGAATTCTCCGGTGCCATCCTGCACAACGCACCGGAGTAAAGGGCCGCGCCAGAAGCTTCTGATCACATCTCTAGCACTCACGGGAAAATTCGGATGGTGAGGAGGAGACCAGCACCGGAGCTTAGGCTGCAAGTCCGAAGGTTTTCAAGGCCACCGGATTTCTCCGGTGATGGTCAAGTGGAAGCATCGGAGAAAGCGTTGTTGCCCAAGGTTTATACAGAAGATTTAGGAGCCCTGGATTTCTTCGGTGATCACCAAAGGAGCTGCACCGGAGAAAATGTGTCTCAACGGTCAGTAACACAGCTAGCCTAACGACTAGTACACGTGGCACCACCAAATTTCTCCGGTGGGATGCACCGAACATTTCCGATGCCCTCTGCACGAATGCAGTCCAGTCACAACAACTATATCTCCGCATGGAGACCACATGTCTCCCCAAAGCCGAGCATTTGAGTGTTGCTGGAGCCGTGGAGCGTGATGAAGTTGCTAGTGAGTTTATGCTCTGTCCAAGTGCCCTAGACATCAAAAATGTTGAAGGAAATATTATATGTTTAGCGAAGTGCTTAGACTAGTTAGACTACACAATTGACGTCTTGCTCTAGGCTTAAGCTTAGTGTTTTAGTGAGGTTTGCTTACCGCTTTTCACTCAGTGCTTGACACGCACCATTGTTGTATACTAGGAGCTTGTAATTTTATGACATCACACCAACCATATTTATGATGTGACTGTCTAGCGAGTGCCAGAGGAAACGAGACCCACAACGCTTGAGCTGGAAGCTCAATAGTGAAGACGATGGTGAGTGATCTGTGGTATATGGGAGAAGGCCACACAGAGACCAAGGCTATCCATGAAGTTACATGACTGGGAGACCCTTGCGAGACGTCTTTGCGATGGGCTCCAATAAGGACTAGGGGGAAGCGTGAGCTTCTCGATATCTCGGAAAAAAATACCATCATCAATGGGAGTTTAGGAGTTTGCATCTCTAACCCATTTAAGCTTCCGCGCTTACATAACTTTTCTAGGTTATGTGGTTATCTTTGCTAGTTTAGTTTGCTATTCTAGTTGATAGGATTAGAACATAGTTTGCATAACACATTTTACCGCATAACACATTTAAATAGAAATCTCGCATATGTTTTGATAATTAGAATTAGAGGCCAAGTAGAGTTTTAAGAAGCTTAATTCAAACCCACCTCTTAGGCGTTGCGAAGAAGGAAAAAATTATTTAGATGTTGACCAAGAGTCGACCAACACCTTTAGAGGATTTTATTTAATTTGCAAATAATTTTGTGGGGTTTGTTTTTTTAAACAAGGTAAGGGAGGTGGAAGGTTGACTTAGTTTGACTTCCAAACTATATGCAACACAGTTCCCAACAATGTTTAAGAAAAAATTATCACGCCCCCCAAGATCATAAGCAATCATTGGAGTTGTATCAGTCGCTAAGGCGTAGCACACTTTCACGGCTGTAGTCAAGCCACGAACATGAACTCCGTCCACCAATCAAATAATTTGTCCGTATTAAAAGATCGAGACCAATCCATAATCAGCTTCCCTCTCATGCTCGTGAATAAAACAGGAAGGGTCGGTTTGGTTGCCTGCACAATCTCTTACCAGGTTCCCAAAGTGCAGTTCGTGCTCTTTAGTTACCTGCTGAAGCCATATATAGGCTAGCACTATCCTCGAAGCAAATGCAGCTTGCATCCTACAATTTAGCCAAATCCTGAATAGCTTAAGCAAGCTCAGTGTGCATCTTACAATTCAGCCAAATTCTATATATTGAGCTATGCACCCTTCCTCCTACTTCTGCTCTGCACCCAAGACACAGGAAACCAATCACATGTATTACACTGTGCATCTTCCTATCTAGATAAGCAAAACAACAATAAATTGTATTGTTTTTTACTATGAAAATGTGAATAAACAGATCTTTTAAAAATTCGTGGAGATTAATATCACAATAAAATATTCGTTTTCTTAAACAAAACAATAAAACATTTGTGAAATGTGAATCCATTAATACATCGTCGTAAATATGCAAAAGTTTGAAGATTCAACTTTATTAAATCACAATACCTTATATAGATATATTATAGAAAAATAAGAGAAGCTAATAACGTAGAGGTACAGATTCGTGGTCTGAAGAGACGGTAGTTTCACAGCAAGCGAGCAAGGGCTTCCGAGTCCGAGAGACTAAATGGCAAACTTAGCCTGTATAACATGTGTGATCCTTTTCGAGAAATTCCATAAAATGTCAAATTACTAACCTTTTTGAAAGATCAGATTGACGATACGAATATGCGACTGAATGAATTTATTGCATTGTAGCTCTAGAGTCTAGAACAATAAAAAAAAAGATTTACTGAAGCTACTATACTCATGTCGACTCACTAGCCTAATACAGCAAATCAGATGATGTACAACATTTTGTTTCCCTGATATACCCAGCGTTACACTACATCCTTTTGATTTTTTGAACAAGGGTCCCAGGGGCCTTCGTTCTGGGACCCTTCACCTTCCTATCTAAGCTTCTGATAAGTTAGTACAATGAATGATACAACTTACAACATGACAATCAAATGAATGAGACTGAACAGAAGGGATAAACAATTTGATTGGGGAACATCTAACTGGGGAACCCAGACTCCTTCCATCTGACTCCCGCAGACGGTGGTTATCCCGCGTTCCACGGAGATCCAGGCGGCCGAGGATGCGCTTGAGCTGGCCCTGGTGGGCCTGGTGGGGGGCACCAGGCCGGTGGTTTCTACGGCCACAGTCTACAGCTTCCTCTACTTTGAGTTTGAGCTTACGATGAACGATGTGGAGTTGCGGCGGCACCACCCGGAAGATTTCATCGCACGTTTCCGCCGGCGTGCGGATCGTGACCGTGTCCTTGCTTCGCGGCCGGGTGGATACCTTCTGCCCCTCACCTGGAGACCTTGGCAACGAACTTCACTGGCCACTGCAGAAAGCTTCAATTTTCAGGTGGTTATGGGCATGCTGCGTGTACCGCTTCACGCGCGCAATGTGGCTACTGCCCAGATCATCCTGGGCCCTTCTTGCTCGGGGATTGAAATCACAAGGCTTCGAGACATACCTGATGATGACGACCGAGAATTCTTTGTCAAGGCATGGTGCAAACATCCGGATCTCATCGAAGACGAGCAGACCATCTCAATTCCGGAGCCTGTTTTGCCTGTTGCAGCTATGGGCAATCCTGCCCCGCCACGCCTCTTGCAGTACCAGGTTAGGATCAGGGTGGTCGCCTTCCAGGATTGGACCACACCCCCTGCCTCACCTGGTGATGATGATCGTAATGATGATAGTGATGGCCCTGATGATGGTCGTGCTGATGATAACTTTCAAGACCGGGGGGAGCATTGGCCAACACCGCGGCGCGATAGTGATGATGACTCCGGTGATAGCAACTGTAATAATTATCACCCAACATGCTACTACCCACCAGAGGAAGCGGGTGGACGTGATCCATCCATGTCTGTGCAGGTGGGCGAGTTCAGATGCCCCTGTGCGCCGGAGGTCGTTGCTCGGCACACTGATGTTGATGGCACGCGCAAGGAGTCTGTGGAGGCTCCCGAGCGTTGGGAGATGATGTCTGCACCGCGTACTCCTTGGACGCGGGCATCAAATTTTACGACGGTCAACACTCCATCACCGTGGATTGATAGGCAGCTGGGCTCCCCTACCACCGGCGTCGTGGCACGGTTCCTGAACGTCGCGCCACTGCTCCTCCACGCGGGTGTTTCAACACTCGAACCTGTACATGTTGATCAGGACTGGTGGGCTGATCTGGCGGTGAATGAGCTTTCAAATGATGTCAGTGCTCAAGCGTGTGTTGGTCAGGAGGGGGCCACTTCCGGGTCGACCTCGAACTCGGTGGACTGGTGGGCGGACCTGATTGACGCTGAACTTGTCTCCACCACATATGTTGCGGCCAGCCCAGTTGTTGATGGGGCTGGACTTCATGAGGAGGATGAGAGCGCTGTGGAGGAACTTGTTTTCTGTAGTGGATGCGGCCACTGTCATGGATGCGGCAGCCGCTACACAGGCTGCGCTGGAGGCGGAGGTGTGCGTCCCCATGCACACGCCCCTGATCCGCGCGGGACCTAGGCCTCGGCGGGCGCGAACGCCGGTCTCCATCCCGTCGCTGCGACGGAGTGGCAGGATCGCAGCAAGGCCAAGGGCACCAAATGCAACGGTGCAGGCGCAGCTGCTGCTCCTTAAGAAGCTGGGAGTCGCTGTGGCGGAGGGTGAGCATGCCTCTGAGGTTGAGAAGAAGATCAAGCTGGCATTCAGGGGAGATATGTCGACCAGGAAAAGGGAGGCACTACAACTCTTCCTTGAAAATGGAATTGACCTGACAACTGTGGACCTAAACCTCCATGGTCTGGAGGACGCGGCGCTCTGAGCGCTGCCATCACACACGGATGTCGCCCAATTGGTTATCCAATGTCGACGACCTTCAGTTGCTTCGTCTGGAACGTCCGCGGTCTCAATGATCGCGCACGTCGTAATGTGGTTCGCGAATTGCTGCTGCGGTACAAGCCGTCGTGTGTGTGTATCCAGGAGACCAAACTCTCCAGCTTATGTAATTTGCTTGCGAATGAAATTCTAGGACCTGCTTTCGATTATGACTTCCTACCCGCGACTGGGGCGGCTGGCGGGATCTTACTGGCCTGGGTTAGGGACGATTGGGTTGTCTCTGATATTAACAAGGGACGCTTCGCCATCTCAGCTCGCTTTCAGAAGAGGGGTGCCACGTCGACGCCATGGTGGCTAACTGGGGTCTATGGACCGCAGGAAGACGCCCAGAAGGTCGAGTTCTTGGCGGAGTTGAGGCAATTCCGTGACGCTTCACTTGGGCCATGGTTAATATGTGGAGATTTCAACATGATTTATCGTACCCAGGACAAGAACAACGACAGGCTTGATCGTCGAAAAATGGCAAGATTTAGAAGATTCATTGACAGTGTACAGGTGCAAGAAATCAACATGGTTTGCAGATCTTTTTCCTGGTCTAATCGCAGGGACAGACCAACGCTCGAGCTGCTGGACAGGGCCTTCGCCTCTGTAGGCTGGCTTACTGAGTTCCCCTCACACACTCTAAGGCCTCTGCCCTCTGAATGTTCTGACCACTGCCCGCTGCTGCTCACGATCATTGTGTTCTATGATGTCCAGCGCCGTTTTCGGTTTGAGACTTTCTGGACAAAGATACCAAGCTTTTCTGGTGTGGTGGAGAGTGCCTGGTCTTCAACGGTTGAGGGGGCTGATCCATTTCGAAGATTAGACCAAAAATTTCGCAAGGTTGCCATTGAGCTACGTCGATGGAGCAACTCCAAGGTGGGTAGCATTCGGCTGCAGCTTGCTGTGGCTCGCGAGCTCATATTCCGGTTTGATGAAGAGCAGGAGAGGCGGAATCTGCATGACTGGGAGCTAAACATGTACAGGTCCCTCAAGGCCAAGACCTTGGGCCTGGCCTCGCTCGCGCGGACAATCACAAGGCAGCGCTCTAGGATCCTTTTCCTGAGGGAGGGTGATGCCAACACGAAGTTCTATCATTTGCAAGCCTGCCATCGGCGGAGGCAGAACAGGATTGACACACTTCGGGTACAGGGGGCCCAGCTGCTTGAGTTGGAGGGGCTGTTTTCTGAGGATGAAGTGTGGAATGTGATCAAAGACCTACCAAATGAAAAGGCGCCAGGTCCGGACGGTTTCACTGGACTCTTCTACAAGCTGACCTGGGAAACGACTAAGGGAGACATCATGCATGCGTTCAACGCCTTCTGGTCGCTTGATTTCAGAAGCCTGTACCACTTAAATGATGCTTTTATGGTATTACTGAAGAAGAAGGACCACGCACAAGAAATCAGGGACTATCGCCCCATCAGCCTTATACACAGTTTTGGCAAGCTTCTAACTAAATGTATGGCTAACCGGCTTGCGAAGGTGCTAGACCAATTGGTGCAAGGCAACCAGAGTGCGTTCATCAAGGGACGGAGTATACATGACAACTTTCGGGATGTACAATTGTCGTGCAAGGAGCTACACAGGCGGCGTTCTACTTGTGTCCTGCTCAAAATTGATGTGGCAAAGGCGTTTGACTCGGTTGTTTGGGTTTTCCTGCTTGAGGTGCTCCAACACATGGGTTTCGGCTTGAGATGGAGAAACTGGATTTCCGCTATTCTGTCGACGTCAAGCACCAAGATACTCCTTAATGGACGCCCAGGGAGGAGGATCTGCCATTCTCGGGGGCTGCGTCAGGGGGACCCCCTGTCGCCGATGCTTTTCGTCCTTGTGATGGAGGTGCTAAACCATCTTCTTGGCTGGGTGGAACGACAGGGGTTGCTGACACCCATCGCTGAATTACATGGCTCCCGTGTTAGCCTATATGCTGATGACTTGGTCATGTTCGTAGTGCCAAATGAACAGGACCTGCTAACTGTCAAAGCGGTGCTGGGAATTTTTGGTCTTGCTTCGGGTCTTTTCTCCAACTTGGACAAAAGTATTGCCACACCTATACACTGCTCAGAAGACGATATAGCAAGGGTTCAGGGAGTACTGTCCTGTACAGTTCAAATTTTCCCATGCAAGTACCTTGGAATTCCACTGTCAGTCTACAAACTCAAGCGCTCTGAGGAGCAATACATCATTGACAAAGTGGCTCAGCGAATCCCAGGCTGGAAAGGAAATTTGCTCAATGTAGCTGGCAGAACGGCGCTTGTCAAAGCTACCCTTTCGGCCATCCCGATTCATACTTCCATCGCCCTTTGCTTGTCACCTTGGGCAATTGGCATGATTGATAAGCTGAGACGGGCATTCGTGTGGGTAGGAACTGATAAGGTTGCTGGTGGTCTTTGCAAGGTGGCATGGGGGCGGGTCTGTTTGCCCAAGGAGTTGGGTGGCCTGGGTATCTCGGACCTGAGGCGTGTTGGCATTGCGCTGCGTGTACGATGGGTCTGGCATGATCGCCGACTCGGACGCCGGCCGACGACCAAGGAGAAGGCGGCTCTGGCACTTTTCCAGGCGGCCACTGTCCTAAACCTGGGAAATGGTCGGTCAACGTACTTCTGGACGGACAAATGGATCAGGGGGGTCAACATCGAGTCCTTTGCACCGACCGTGTTCGCTGCTGTGCGCGCAAGGAACAAGATGGCTACTGTCGCCGAGGCCTTGGATGGGAGTGCTTGGGTCCGGCACATTGCTGCACCGCCCTCTCTGCAGCTTCTGCTCGAAATCGATCTCATTTGCGACCTCATCGATGATGTGCAGTTATCACAGGAACCTGACACGTTCACTTGGAGACTGACCGCTGATCGATCCTACTCAGCAGCTTCAGCCTATGGTGCCATGTTCCTCGGATCCTCACCGGTTCTTGGCGCCAAGCAGATTTGGAAGACGCCGGCTCCGCCGAAGGTTCGCTTCTTCTGGTTAACCATGCACGGGCGCTGCTGGACTGGTGATCGCCGCTTCCACCACGGCTTGCAACCCTCCAACGATTGCATCATGTGTGATCAAGAACCTGAAACGATGGATCACATTCTAATTGGGTGCAGCTTCAGTAGGGAAGTTTGGCACATTTGGTTTGCAAGAATTTGGCTGCAGGTGCCTTCAGCTGATGATGGAGAGGCAGCTCTGGAATGGTGGTTGCGGTCTAGAAAGACAGTTCAAAAATCGCTGCGACGTGGCTTTGATTTGCTTATTTTCCTGGTGGGCTGGATGTTGTGGAAAGAAAGGAACTCCCGCACCTTTAATGCTGTTGCATCCACGCCTGGGCTGCTGGTTCTCGCGATGCAGGAGGAGGCCGAGCGCTGGTGCTCGGCAGGGAACAGATGCCTGGGGCTGATCTTGGCGAGGTTGTAGTTCGTTTTGCCCTTTGTCACAAAATTTGCTAAAATGTAATCTTTGGTTGTGAATCCAGTAGTGCTAGGTTTTGGTAACCATGTCGTTACCATGGCTTGTTTTCAAAACTCTATCTGCTTAATGAAATATGCGCTACGGGCGTGTTCTCAAAAAAAAAAAAGTATACGTCCTATTGATATTCACAAAGCATGAGTCACTGAATTGGGCTAGCAGCTTTCCAACCGGAGCATGACTAGCAGTTTTCCAACCGGAGCATGACTGGAAATGAACTCTTCAACCGATGGGCCTGCCATGAAGACCGTTCACACTAGAAAGACCTTGTACATCATGAGACAATGCAAACTTGGGTGGAAGCACCATGAGAGGGTCATCTCCAGTCTTGTTCAGATAGGCCATGGGCAGGGCATACCCAAGTGCACGACCAACAGGTACACGACCAACAGGTACAGCCACTGCATTTCCAATCTGGCGGTATCTGCAACCAGGTTCATCACATTATAACTTAATCTACTAACTGAACAGCTGAAAGAAAACAAAATGGGCAATGCTACAGTATTCCAGTTACCTATGTAATAAGTCAAAGCAATTTGAGCCATCGATTTATTAGATTTTATAAATTAATTAATTAAAAAAACCTAAGAAAAGAAAAGAAAATCTTCCAAAATCCCATAATCACAGAAAACAAAAACAGGGGGGTGTCTCTTTTTCCGTTCGTGCGTGGCGCATAGCGCAACATGGGCAGCAGCTGGCGCGCACGGTATAGGAAGCAGTCATGTACAGCGGGAATGGAAAGTTACATGCTAAATCAAATTAAGGCGGGAACAAAAAGTTACATGCTAATCAAATTATTTTAGGTACTAAGCTGTCATGGCGGTGGGAACGAAAAGTTAGATGCTAATCAAATTATTTCATGTATATATCTGTCATGACAGTTTATGCTAATCAAATTATGTCATGTCCAAAGTTACAAAATTAAAAGATTTACCATATCCAATAGATCACGCATGTATCAATTAGATCTAGCAAAAAAAAAAACTATAACTTTTCTTATTTATCCTATTTTACAAAATTAAAAATTAAATAAATATATATTTCACATATTACCTCCTATGAAGTAATAGATCCAAACCACCAGATCTAAGTAAATAAATGGCTCACATTCATTTGAGAGTACCACAGCAAAGCCCAACCAAAAATTCCTGTCTTTGACTGTTCCAGGAAACCTGAAGCTGTCAGGAAAACCTTGCAAACGAGCACTTTCACGAATAGTTAGCAGTCTGTCTTGTGCAAGAGTTATATTTTGAAATCATAAGCAAAATGAAAGAGGGGAGAGGGGGGAGGGGGGGGGATGTCAGAGTTACAGCTCACCTGCATGCGAGCATTTGGACATGTCAGCACAGTTCCCACTACCTCGTCCCACCAGAGTCGACCATATGGTCTGCAACATATTACAAGGGACCCACTAAAATATGAATGTGGAAACAGGCATATAAATAAATATATAATATAAATTGAAATCCATGAAACTAACCTTAACGATTTACCATTCTCGTAGGCTAGGACACAATCAATCACCTAATGTACAAGGGAAATTTATCAAAACTTACATGTAAAGAAAAGTACAGTGCATCTCAGAGAGGTTTTGCCACAAGCATCTTACCAGAGGATTACCAGATGGCAATAGTATTCTCTCCTTAGTTGGATCTAATCTAGCTATGTTGTCAGGACCTACTATGACTCCTGGAAGGTCTCTAAAATTAGCTCCCTGAAAAAAGACTGATGAGATTGTAGAGATTTCTCTAACCCAGAGTTGAATTATGTTCATACAAGCATCTTAGACAACCTTTTTCTTGGGAATCTGCAGTACTCTTAAGTAGTTATCATCATCCAGTGCCCTTGGTCGATGGTCATACAATTTTGATTTAGACACTTTTGTGACATGAGCTCTGGATCCAAGCACTTCTGGGCATGGAAGAAACACGATTTCATGTGTCAGTTTTGCACCATAGCTATCATGAAGTAATGCCGACAAACATGGTCACTGAAGTTGAAAATAGCAGTGGTCACAAAAAAAAATAAAAGAAAAGGAGTCATTATATCTTTCTTTTTCCAAAATTTCGACACTTTTGACTAAAGTTTCTCCTCTTAGCACTTTATCAATCCCAAGGAAAATTTTTGTAAAAACCCAAATTGACATATTAACAAAGAAAATTTTGGTAACACTTTTGGCAAAAATTTGATTTCCCTGATATATGGTCACAGTAACAAGTACTTAGAACTGAGGGCATATCTCGTGCATGTTGTTTCCGGTTTCTTTTTCAACTATATTTATGAATTTATACTTATTTTATTAAACAAATTCCTACCATTTATAGTAAATAGGTTATCTTCAAAACAATTTTAGTAAATGCAAAATACCATTGGAAAAGCATACAAGCTAATTTATCGTCCCTCAAAAATGAAAACCGTCATCTTAATATTACTCTAGTGTACAAAATAAATATTTCTAGCCATCAGAACCTATTATTCAATGACACCGAATAAAAAGAAAATCCAAGTCCTTTCCACACCAATGTAAGCAATCAACACACCAGAATTAAATGACCGAATATATCTTTGGAATTCCGTCTGAGGTCCCTTCACATATAGCATTTCTTCTCGTTTTTCTCCATTCTGCACCTACAAAAGATTTACAGAACAGCTTCTGAATTAAAGGACTGTTAAATTAAGTGAAAATTGCTTATATCTAACCCAAAGTCAGCAAATGTACCCTCACAAGTAAACTACCATTTCATGCTGGAACATAGTGTAGCCCCAGGCCCCAGTCCTACCCACTTGATTTATTTTTCCTTTGGGTGATGTGGACAAGGCAAGGTAGAACATGGACAGATAGGTCTGGCATCTTTAAGATTGTTACTTACTTCTGGAAGATCAGATAGAGCATCTTCGAGAACAATTGGTTTTTCTAGTTGCATTGGCATGCTGTCGGACCATCCAACCAAATTACGTTACAAAAGAGATAATGATGGTGTTGTTACTTCACCCGACATACTAATTCTCAGTATTAGGGGAAAAGATTAGCATAAAGAAGTAGACTACAATAAACAGATCAAGTAGGAAATGAATTTTCAATAGAAATGGATGTCCAGAGAAGAAATAAGCCAATCCTTAGACCGATCAAGTAAAGCAGGTCATATTTACCTCAAAAGCCAGGGGCAACCATTCTTCACAATTGCCTCATGAGTAGGCAGAGGAAACAGGGGTAATTTCTACAGGGTAGAGGTATAGAAATAAGGGGAAAACAGATGAAAGTGACTTCATAATACAGGGGAACTATTACTTGCCTCCTTTGGATGACAGCCCACCAAAAAGACACGCATTCGGAATTGTGGGAGGCCATAACATCCAGCAGCCATGATCCCTAGTTTTGCTTGATAATGCATAGCAACTAGCCGACTTAGAGCATATCTTGCAAGTGTTGCATCAGCAAACTTCAGTATATCAAGGACATTTTCCATATAAATGTATTTGGGCTTCAAAAATTGCATTACATCCATGAAGACAATGATCTGCTTATTTCTCTCACAGTTGAATGGTGCATCAAATTCCCTATTGCGGTTGTAGCCACTAATGCCTTGGCATGGTGGTCCACCACATATGACATCCACATCACCCTGAATTCATACAAGATATCAGAGGTGCTGAGTAACTGTAGCAAGTCACAACAATACCACAACGGTCACATTAAATAACCAGTATTAACAAGAAAGACTATTTATGTAAGGAGTATTACTTCCATGCAGGAAGCAGCATGTTGGCAGCTTGATAACACCAGCACAAGGAATATTATGGTTTATGACTGAACCGACAACCCCCCCCCCCCCCCTTGTGGCTCTAAATAATCTGTAGGCATGGTTGCCTCAAAAGTGGGTGGTGGCACCGATGCGGGCAGCAGAGGTCCTATGGTCGGATACGGTAGGGGCAACCAGGGAGAAGGTGATGCAGGTGGCGCTGGCAAGGAGAAAGATGTGCATTCATGCTACCATTAGTTCGCCTTGCATCTTCACTATTAATTTATTTTAATCTACTTTCAACATGTGTGGAGGCGACTTCCAGTTTCCCACATATGATTTTTTTTTGGTTCACATATACAAGTTTGTCACCATAAATATACTATTTGTCATGATTTTTGGTCAAAGAAATTCACATAATGTTATCAATAGAATTAAACTATAATTTTGAGTAAATGACCATTTACTAATGCTATCAAAACATTAAGATATGCAAGTAGCTGTCAAATGCCAAAAGTTCCACATAAATGAAAAAACAAGATATTCCATCAAGCCTTTAAGAGAACCATGACAGCACTGAGTGGGGCATGGTCACAAAGTACAATTCTGCATTATTGCAAAATTGCTCACCTTAGTCCTGCTTTAATTTGTTAACATCTATTTATGACAAATTGAGATTAGAGTATGTCAAGGGCGTCGAGGGGTTTGTTAACATCTATTTATGACAAATTGAGATTAGAGTATGTCAAGGGCGTCGAGGGGTAAGGTAGGTGCATCCGGAGGCGACCCGCGAAACTTCTTGAGGAGGCCGATGTGGAACACATCGTGCAGCCGAGCGCGAGGCGGCAGGGCCAGGCGGACAGCGACGTCGTTGATGAGTTCGACGACGCGGTAGGGCCCGAAGTATCTCGGCTTGAGCTTGCCGGTGACTGCCTGGGGAATGGACGAAGTTGCCCGCTGACGAAGACGAAGGAGGGCCCAATCGCCCACCTGATATGCGACATGACGGTGGAGCTTGTCGTAGTGCTTCTTCTGGACCGCCTGCGCCTGCTCCAGGCGGTAGCGGATGTCCGCCAGGAACTCGTCATGCTCCTCCATGTTCCTGGCGACTGCGGCCACCCGTGTGTCCCCCGGCTCATAAGACCAGATGGTCGGAGGATCGCGCCCGTAGACGACGCGGAACGGCGTGTCCCGCAGCAAAGACTGGTAGGCGGTGTTGTAGACGTACTCCGCCCATGGCAACCAGCACAGCCACTGTCGAGGTCGATCACTGGTGAGGCAGCGCAGGTACATGACAATGACGCGGTTGGCAGCTTCGGACTGGCCGTCGGACCGAGGGTGGAACACCGAGGTCATGTGAAGCTTGGCGCCCATCAGACGCACGAGCTCTCACCAGAACGTCGAGGTGAAAACCGGATCGCGGTCGGACACCATAGACTGGGGAACGCCGTGAAGCCGTACTATGTCGGTGAAGAAGGCTTGCGCGATGGACTCGGCGGAGTACGGGTGCGCCGAGGAATGAAGTAGCGATGATTCTTTGAACTGTCCACCACCGTCAAGATGACTGACTTGCCACGACAGCGCGGCAATGCTTCTTCTTCATGGAAGTCGGCGCGATGTCCGCCCAGACACCCCCAGGGTATGGTGGGGGAAGTAGAAGGCCTGCCGGGTGAAGGTGCTCCAATTTGTATCTCTGACATGTCACGCACGAGCGCACAAGGTCCTGCACTAGCTGTCTCATGTTAGGAAAATGAAAATCGCGTCGTAGGCGATGTAGTGTGCGCTGGACCCCTTCATGCCCGTCCTCGTGCACGGCCACCATGATCTCCTGGACGAGCGGGGACGCTGGGCGGATGTAGAGGCGGCCGCCGAACTGGACCATGCCGTCGACCAACGTCCATGGTGCGCCGCGGGAGCCTGCCCGGAGCTCGTCCCGCATGGCGACGAGGGCAGGGTCGGTGTCCTACGCTTGGCAGAGGCGCGTGACGAAGTCGAAACGCGGGGCGGAGATGGCGACGATGACCCCCTCCTCCGTGTCGCGGCGAGACAAGGCGTCCGCCACCACGTTCGCCGCGCCCGGCTTGTACTCGACGACGAAGTCGAAGCCCAACAGTTTCCCCACCCAGTGGTGCTGGGGAATCGTGGCGAGACGCTGATCGAACAGGTACTTGAGGCTGTAATGATCCGTCTTGACGAGGAATCGACGACCCCAGAGGTACGGTCTCTAGTGCCGGATGGCGTGGACAAGACCGATGAGCTCCCGCTCATAGGCGGCGAGGGAGCGATGGCGTGGCGCGACGGGGCGACTAAAAACGCAATCGGGTGCGCGTCCTGGATGAGCACTGCGCCGAACCCGTGCGAAGAAGCGTCGCACTCCACGACGAAGTCCTTGGCGAAGTCTGGCATCGTCAGGACCGGGGCTGAGGTGACCGTCGCCTTGAGCGCGTCGAAGGCCGCGGCTGCTGCGTCGGTCCAGGAGAACCCTTCCTTCTTGAGGAGGGCAGTCAGCGGCGCGGCGACGGAGCCGAAGTTGTGGACGAATTTGCGGTAGTACCCGGCCAAACCGAGGAAACCGCGCACCGCCCGAGCCGAACGTGGCACCGGCCAGTTGTGGATGGCCTGCACCTTGGCCGGATCCATGGCGACACCCGCCTCGGAGATGACGTGACCGAGGTACGAAACGGAGGTGACGCCGAAGGCGCACTTCGCCCGCTTGACGAAGAGATGGTGTTGGCGCAGCATGGAGAGGACGGCACGGAGGTGGCGAAGATGGTCGGCCCATGCCTTGCTGTATATCAAAATGTCGTCAAAGAAGACAAGGACAAACCGGCGGAGGAAAGGGCGCAAGACGTCGTTCATGAGCGCCTGGAATGTCGCTGGGGCGTTGCACAGCCCGAACGGCATCACCAAGAACTCGTAGAGGCCCTCGTGTGTGCGGAACGCCGTCTTGTGGACATCACCCGGCCGCATGCGAACTTGGTGGTACCCGGAGCGAAGGTCCAGCTTGGAGAAGAATCGGGCGCCGTGGAGTTCGTCGAGCAGTTCGTCCACTACGGGAATGGAGAACACGTCCTTGACGGTGAGGGCGTTCAGGGCGCGGTAGTCGACGCAGAAACGCCAGGATCCGTCCGCCTTCCTAACGAGGAGGACCAGCGAAGAAAACGCCGAGGCGCTGCTGCAGATGATGCTCTGCTCCAACATGGCGGCGCATTGCCGCTCCAACTCGTCCTCCTGGGGGCGCAGGGTACCGATGACGCCGGACCGCCATCGCTGCTGCGCGCGCGGCTTGAGGCGATCTTTGTGGTCGTGGTCACGGGCGCTGGAGGCGGAAGCCCCGGGGCTCTCGCCAAGACGCCCCCGACGGATGCCAGCGATTAAATCCAGAGGGACTTCGCTAGCGATTGTGGTGCGGACGCCGGCCGCGGTGGATGTCGCCACTCCCTCCCAGCACACGGCGCGCCCCTGACGCTGGAAGGACATCTTCCGCGCGGTGAAGTCACAGAGCACCGGCCCCAAGGTTGCCAGCCACTGCGTGCCAAGGACCAGGTCGTACCCGGCGAGTGGCATCACGAAGAGATCGACGCGGAACGTTTCGTTGCCAATGGTGAGCGGTGCCTGCCGAATGACGCCAGGGCAGGAGACACGCTCGCCATTCGCCACTGTCACCGTGAGGCGTGGGCGACGCTGCAGAGGCAGACCCATGCGGAGAGCCGCGTCCTCGGCAATAAAGTTGTGCGTGGATCCCGAGTCGAGGAGCACGGTGAAGACGGCGGCGCCCACGGCCACCTGGATCTGCATGGTGTCGCTGAAGGATATCCCAGTGATCGCGTTGAGGGAGAAGTGCGCGGTCTCGTCCCCGGCGGCGTCCTCATCAGCAGCGGCCGCGTCGGCAGTGTCGTCCTCGATGACACTGTCGAGGAGGAAAAGCCGCTTGCAGACCGGGGCCGATTGTAGCAGAGGCCGAGACGGCGACGCTCCTCCTGTTCCGCCTGAGTCAGCCGACGAACCAGCCGGCCCTCCACGGTGATCGTGGCCGGCGCGGCCTTGTCCGCCGGGGGCGCCGGCAGGGCGAGTCGCGGTGCGGGCGCCGGCAGAAGCGGCCGATCACGCGGGGGAATGCGTGCCGCGGGCGCGACGTAGCTGTTTCGCAAGTCGATCTTGCGGGCGAGGCTCATGGCCGCCACCAGCGACTGGGGATTGTGGATCTCCACATCGTGGCTGAGCGGTGGAAGGAGGCCGGCGGTGAACAGCTGGACACGCTATGCCTCGTCCAGGCGGCCCGCGCGAGGTAGCAAGGCCTGGAACCGGTCCTGGTACTCTTCCACGGTACCGGTTCGGTGGCAAGCTGCCAACTCGCCGAGGGGGTTGGAACGGAGGGGAGGCCCAAAGCACAGGTGAAGGAGCTCTATGAAACAGCGCCAGGAAGGAGTACCCTCGTCCTGCTGGACTTGGTAGTACCACATCTGGGCGCCGTCCTCGAGATTGTATGACGCCATCCAGACCTTCTCCTCCTCCATGATTCGTTGTTGATGAAAATAAGATTCACAGCGGTTGATGAAGATCAGGGGATCAGACTTGCCATTGTAGCGTGGAAAGTCGAGCTTTTAGAAACGCGGCGGCCGATCTTGGTGGTGCACCCCCGACCCGGAGTGTGCGGAGGGTGAGGATCCCCCTGGCGGCGAGCGCGCGGCGTCCAGGCGCTGGATGGCCTGGGCGTTGGTCTCCATGGATGTCTGGAGGGTCCTGATGGACGCGACCAGGGAGTCCAAAGTCGCCTGCAAGGCCGCGTTGTTGACGGTGTTGTCGGCCATGGCGTCTACTCGAGGCGAAGGCGAGGGCGCAGCTGCGGATGGTGGGGTGGCGGCTGGAGTTTGCGAACTGGATGAACTGGATCGCCTAGACCGTGATACCAGGTTGTCAAGGGCGTCGAGGGGTAAGGTAGGCGCACCCCGGCTACGTAGTTCGTAGCCGTGATCCGTGTTGGGGCGATGTTTTACCCCTCAGCGCCCGTTTTGTTGGGAGAGGGAAGAAGAGAGATAATTGTTCTTTCTTGATCCCAAATGATAGATTACAAAGACTCTTATAGGCCATAGCCTCAACAAACCCTAGCAAATCATTCCTAAATTAAAGGTCCCCCTTGATTGGCTTCCCTTTTATCTAGCCACTTCCTAAACTGATTCCTGCGCTGGCGCCTGCCGTGGTGACCGCGGCGGCTGCGTCGCCCTGGCGCTCTGCCGCTCTGCCGCACATCCCGGGCCCTTCTGCCCCTGGTATACGTGCGGCCCCACATGACAGAGTATATTTTAAATCTAGAGTCTGTTATGACTTTTTTTTTCTTTTCTTCCTTCCTTTTTTCAGCTTGGAGAGGATGTAGAGTTCAGTTGACAAGTTAACATCATATGCTCTTCTGAGTCATGCTAGCATATTGTTCAAAGCATCAAGGCTGACTGGCTGAGATTCATACTAAACTCAACCATGAATAACACTTACAGGAAGTGGTAAGATCTTTTTCTTATGCCCTTCAATAACAAAATCCCTAATTGCATCTTTGCAGTTCCTGCAAAAGCCAAATTGTTCAAATCATGGTGAAATTGGTAAGTTTTAAAACCTTTTATTCTTACTTTAACCCTTCCATTGGCTCCCATGTGTCATCATTAGGGCCATAACCTTTCCAGCGGACCTACACATGATATCACAATTGTTTCAGTACAGATCAATACAACGTTCAATGGAAAACCAATGATATGCACATGTAATTTGTAAACATACAGCCTGCACCAGAGTTGAGGCAATAGAGCCAAACTAATTATTGGATCAAATAACAAGGAAATTGTTTACGTATTTAACAGCATTGAGTTATATCATTAACCTGTAAAGAGTAGAAGGGCAAATTCCCATTACCACGTTATGATTCTGACAAGTAATTAAGTTGGTACTCTTAACTACAAGACTATAAAGCAAGCAAACCATCACAAACCTTAAAGTATAAGCCACGCTTTCTGACACCATTTGGATCACCGAAGCAAATATCAACTAGCTTCCATACTTCGAATTCTTCAGTAGAAAATGTAGAACAATCTGGAGTTCCATTACTGGATTGTGTTGGAATGTTGGAATGAGACTTTACTGCAGGGCTTCACATGGGTTTTGCATAGCTTTTCCCATTCCTTCAACAACTCAAGGAAATCGTCGGTGGTTTCGTTTCGGACCTATGCAATGAGTAGATGTGCATAAGTGAGCCAGGGCTAGAACTGACATTTAACACAGCAGCAGATCCAATTAAACTAAGAGGAAGATAGGGAAGGAGGAGGTGAGGGCAGAAGAAGGAAGAGAGGAGTTGAGGAAGGAAGCCCCCCCCCCAAGTTTGCTGCTGGGTCCACCCCTGGAATAACATAAAGCACGAAGGTCAGTACCCGAGTTTCTGGATGATTTAGCCTGAAGCTTTCACATGCAACTTCATCGCCATCAACAGCCCATCTCTACTAATGGTAAGGAAATCATTAAAAAAAATAAATTACTATACTAAGCAATAAAAAGCCATAGCACATCTAAGATGTTAGCATATAAGTACCGCTACAAGATTCACACCACCACCACGAGCCCCAAGACAAAGACCAGTAGACATTCCCCCACAACCACAGTACAGATCTAACAGGTAAAGCTCCCTCATCTCTGGTGTGGGAGACTTCTGCTTTTCAGTGAAATCAATCCTTTTTGCATTGTTGCTACTAGTGTAATGTGAATGTACCGTGTCATTTGGATCTCCTGCATTTTATAAACCTTAAGTTAGGCTAATAAGCTCATAATATTATCAAAATACATAAGAGAATAAAAGCTATAACAATTACAGACTACAAGATAATACACATTAGAATTAAAGTATGATCAACATGATAGAAAAATAATAAGAGAAAGGTGCTTCAATATAAATTATAAATTATAAATTATAAATGTGAAGAGTAGATCTCAAATCCAAGTGATGATTGATTGATTCACCAATATTGCGAATAATTTGACATCACATGCGAACCACTGTGTTTTAAGAGGGCTTGCCCATTTCCATGGTAGAAAATGTACTATAGTCCAGAGAGTACTTCATGTCATAGTAATAGTGGAATGAAGGAATTGACCGAGACTTTTCATTTATCTGTAGCAAAAATTGAAAATCTACTTTTCATACAAAGAAGTATCATTAAACCAATACAAGAAAATGTATAATTAAAAGTTCCTACACTTGGAGAAACTGGCACAATGTTAACTTTAGAAACAATGCAGTCTAGTAAATTGTCATCCTTCAGATCTGAGTAAAAGAGCCTCCTTGGGTCATGAGACTGTGCTTGGTCTTCCATGACCTGAGATTGAATAAGAGGTCAAAAGCATGATTAAGTACCCTAACATAAACAGGATTATAAGATTTTAATTGTGCAAGCTGAAACATGAAGTTATGTTTCATTAATTCAGGCCTCCTTACAAGATCTCATGTTTCTTTAGGCATGCATAATTTCTAGGACAAAAGGTTAGGAGAACCAAACTCACTGTGTCTTCAGCTCTGAAAAACCACTGCGCAGTGGAGTGAAGTAATATTCATCAGCAGTAGTTTCGAAAAACTCTAATAACCTGCCTATATAATGTGGTTTTCCTTCTAGACCCTGCAAATATTAACCATACTAAAGTTATGCAACAGTAAATCATGTGATATCAAGGTAAACACTGTTTTATACTACACAACACAATAATCATGCAAGCTACAGTTGCAATCAAGCAACAGATATAGATAAACATACATACTCCTTCCATCCCTAAATAAGTGTCGCTATTGTATTCATGCCGGTCAAACTTTCTTAAGTTTGACTAGGTTTGTAGAAAATATTAACAACATTTGTATCTTCAAATAAGTTTATTATGAAAATAAATTCAATGATTTATCTAACAATACTAATTATGCACTACAAAAATTAATATTTCCTTGCATATATTTGGTCAAAATAGAAATAGTTTGACTCCTTGGGAAGCGAGAACGACACCTATTTAGGGACAGAGGAGTACACATGAACATGATAGCCAACATACACAAATCCACATACAGGCCACATGAGGTTGATCAATAATTTATTTTTCTGATTACTTGTGAGCACTATTAATTAGATTTTTTTTTTGAGCATCAGCACTATTAATTAGTTGAGAAGTCCTCAAATGAAGACAAAGTAGGCCAGAGGTATCGAGAAGAAAGCTAGACATCAAAAATCTTAACTCACCTTAATAAATGCGCAATCCCCAATACTAGCTTCCAAATAGTGGCATTTGACATCCAAGACAGCCTTGCCAGCACTGTAAACGTAGAACATTTATCATGAATAACTTCAATTCTTCAACAGATGTACACACTGAGCTTTAAAAGCTAATGCATTTTTTTGCTCACTTGGAAACTGTTTGGGTATTGCTCCTCTTATCCTTCAAACAAAGAAGCCACAAGTGAAATAGGTAACTTCAATGATGCCAATTCTTACGAGTTCAGCATAGTACAAATCATATAAGGTCGCAATATTTGTAAAATGAAAGATATAAGTTTCATATGAGGACCTGCTACTCGACTTCTTATATGGTGACACATATATGTGTATGCGCTACCAGACCCCTAATGTAGCACACATATGCGCAGGTAAACTAATCGCAAGATAGCATTATGGCACATAAAGGAGAAATCATTAGTTTCTTCCTGTCTGTTCATACTATTTCTTTGATTGTTTTCTGTTTTCCTGTCACATGCAAATTGACTATCGATTCCTCGATTCTAAAATAGCATTGTTGAGCATAGAGATAAATATTTGTTTTTGAACATAACTAGAGATAAATATTTGTTTCTTACTGCTTTTACAACAAGTAACTTAAATTGGCTCTAAAATTACATATTGTGCATAAAAATACAAATATTTGTTTCTTACAGCTTTTATGACAATTCTTTAGCAAGTCTCTGTTTTCCTGTTAGACCTAAATCGAATCCCGGTCATTCTTCTGTTAAATTTATCATCTATTCAACCTCATGAGAAGTGCCTAAAATAGAATGAATTTAACACTATTCATCTGTCCGTATAGTCATGTTAAAATCGCTGTTAGTTTTTTTTGGAAACCTTATCCAGACATATCAGTAATTTCTAAGTCCCCATCTGCATACACAGTAAAGCTTCAAAACCTGCAATTAGGTCATTATTTTATTTTCTTTAGGTTGAAGTTGAAACTTCTCTTTGACTCCAATTCTGACTTCCAATTTATATATGTTAGGCAAAATATCTTACTGTCGTCTACAGAAATGCAATTATAATGTATTCTGGAGCACATAGATAGATTAATGCTCTCCCCATCTATAGACCTATAGTTATTAAATTAAAGCAGCAGATGTTTTAGGGCGTTAACACATTTCTTTAGTACAATAAACTTTCATGCTAGGTTGGTTAGGTGACCTGAGTTGGTAAAGTAAATTAAAGCCAACTTATGTGAAAGGGCCTCTAGGTGAGTTGGTTAGGTGGCCTGAGTACCCTGTGGGAGCGAATTTTCAGGCTGGGGTTAAAAAAAAATCCCCTCATCTGTCCCACGCCAAAGCACAGGTCTAAGGCCCAGTCTCGGTCCTAGTTGTTCTCACATGGGCTATGGTACCGATGTGTATGGGTGGGACAGAGGTTAGGGGGTTTTCTCTACCTGCCCCTGCAGGTCGAGTTTCTTTTGTGTGATAAAAAGATGAATGTTGTTTTGGTAAACAGTTACTTCTACTCTCCCTAGATGGCAAAATATTTTATAGACTTCCAAAGAGCCATTTCTCCATTATCAATCTGTAATACTTCATATCTCATTCTCATATTTTAAATAAACTATATAATGATGCATCCATGAAGAGAGCAGTAACAGTTAAACCGCATGCCTACCTTCTTCAGAAGGCAATGATTGCTCCGGTAGCGGTGCGGCCATCTCTTCTGAGCCTCCTCATCAGGCACTGCATCACCCACAAAGAAATAGGAACCATCCATGCTATCCACCATTTCAGAATCAGTACAGTGAGTATCCAATGGTTTATTCTCTGGAGCTGAGGTCACTGTGATCATTGGTAGTTCACAGATTGAGCTACTACTGTTCTCTGCCCTCTTCAAACTCAATGAACATTTCCCTAAGGATATCCTGGGCTGCTTTGCCTTTGGAGGTTGAGATGATGCTGCCTCTACCTCTAGGGGCGTCCCATGGATCGCTTTGTTAGCACTCATTAATCCAGAGTTGTGTAACACAGCATCCACTCTCTCCAAATTGGGCAAGCACTTCTCAGAAGCAAGCTTATGCTTCCTAGGAGGTATACTAGAACTGGCTTTATGCACAGCAGGCACACAATTCATCACTGGCGAAACAGCTGATACCCTGTTGGAATTCACCACCACCTTTGAGGATGATCTAGTCTTCCTTGGAGAAGACGACACTACTTTATTCTTCAAGGACCTTTTACTCACCACCGGTAAAGCCACCACAACATCGGTAGAGGAGCTGTGTATGGCAACAATCTCTGGTGATCCTCGCGGCTTGACCCCATCGGGCAAGTGAACTGGTTTTCATGAAGCAACAGTGGTCTCCTCAAATAACCTAGCAGATACAGGTTGTTGGCTCCCTTCGCTAATGCTGCTCTGCTGAGAAACCGCTAGGCGGTGCTTGGAAGCTCTAGATGATTCTATTTCCTGTTCCAAAGATGCGGCATTTGCTTTGGTCTTGATTGACACCACTTTATTCTTCAAGGACCTTTTACTCACCACTGGTAAAGCCACCACAACATCGGTAGAGGAGCTGTGTATGGCAATAATCTCTGGTGATCCTTGCAGCTTGACCCCATTGATCAAGTGAACTGGTTTTCTTGAAGCAACAGTGGTCTCCAGGCAGCAATCGAGAAGTCGGAGAACCCGGCTGCCGGCGTGGGGTTCAGCAGCGTCGTCGTGCACGTGGCCGGACCCTCGCCGGCGACGACCCCGGTGGACCTCCAGGGCGCGCCGTCCCAGGGCCCTTCCGCGTCGTCCACATCGGCCTCCGCCTCCGGGTCCGGGGCGGCGAATTCCGCGCCGACACCGAACTCCCTCGGCGGCGACCACATTGGCTCCAGCTCCGCTGGGTCGCCGAAGAGGAGCGACCATAGTGGCTCCAGCCCAGCGCTGAAACCCCCCGCCTCGTCGCCCTCCGCCCCGCCGTCGCCGCCCGCCGGAGAACCCTCAGAGGCGGCGGCAGTGGGGCCTGTCGCCGGCGGCGGGGACGGCGAGGTGGGGTCGGGGGGCGGGGGCTCGGGCTCCATTGAGCACGGGGGAGTGGGGACTGGACTAGCCGGGAGGACGGATGGAGATGGAGCAACCCCCGAGGAAGTTCTGATGCACTTCTTTGCTGTTTTCACGCACGCACGGCACGGCCACGGCTGGCTGACGCGCGAGACACTCCTGCTCTCGATTTCCATATTCGGTTGCATGCCTACCCCACATGCCAGTGTCCATTCGATCCATTTTCAGCCCAGGGCGGGTCCACAAATCTTTCTACTTTCTAGATTTGCAACAATTGTGTTAGTTCTAGCTTCTAGCTCATACTCCTGCGTCCTACTCTACGTCTCTGCCATATAACCTCGACGGCAAATTTAAAAATATACAAGAAAGTGCCCTACATTATTACACCCTCCATACAACTTTGTCAGAGCAAGTATAATAAGTCCTAATCAGCAGGCTATAAGGTAGTCCATGTCATTGAAATTCAACGTGAATGAGTGAGAAAGCTGGAGAAATCCGCCTGGCTAAATGGTGTCTCCTAAGAAAAAAACGCTCGCTCATAACATCTTCAGCAGAGTCTCTACTTAGACACTGATCCTACACACGAGAGATAAAAGTAAAAAAAAACTAACTCCAGCGAGACCCTACCAAAGCCCTCAAATTCAAGAGGCCTCTCGAATCACCCCTCCAGCCCTCAGCCTGGGGGGCTCTAGCCAAGGCCCTCAGATCATTGTGGCCTTTTTTTTCGTCGCGCCCTCCTTCCCCTTGCGCGCAAAGCCCCCGCGTGCGCCGCCAAAATTCGCCCCGCGCGCTCTTCCCCTCCCGCCCACAAGAACGACGAGACCGGCCATCGGCGCCGCCTGCAATCTGTTCGCGAGTTCCCGCGCCCTCCTTCCCCTCCCGGCCACAAGAGCGACGAGACCGGCGCTCCCTGAAATCTGTTCGCGAGCGTCCCCGCCATCCCCGTCGCTGCCCCCGGAAGGAGGAGCACCAGCAGCGGTACCTGCTCCCCACCTCCCCACAGTGAATATGTGAATGATTATGTATCCGATTTGAATGCTGCTGTGTGTGAATTTGAGGCCACAGTGAATACGTGAATGTTTTTTTATTCCTATTTCTCAACTTATGAAATGTTCCATTGAAGCACTTGTGTGAATTATTTTGGATCCTATGCTCCGTTCGCTTAGAGGAATTTAGATGAATCTAAAGAAATTTATGAGAGGAAAATATTGTTTCAGATAAAAAAAAAGTGGATTAAGTCGGGTCCAAAGACACACGAACAGAGCCCTAGTATGCTCATGCTGTAGTAGTAGTAGCAGCACATATAATTTAGTAGTGGGCCTATTCGGCTGGTATTAAAGTTGACTGAAGCTGTTTTGCTGTGAAAGAAAAATATCGTAGATTCTAGCTGATAAACTGGCTGATAAGTTTCTTTGCCGGTTGCTGTGACGAGATTTTTTAGCATATGATAGTCTCCTGGGTGTGATGTTCTCATATATATATATATATATATATATATATATATATATAGTATGAAAAATAGAAGTAATTGAGAAGGAGGGTCCTATTTTAAGAGCTTCTGTTGGAGTTCAATCTACAAAACAGAGTCCTCGAAAATAAGGACACCCCTCGAATAAAAAGTAGAGGCCCTGTTTTGAGCTGGTGGAGTTGCTCTTACAGCCTGTGCGAGCGATAGTGCCGGCGTTTTGTTCCGCATCGGGATCTCGTGCTTCTTCCGCACCGTCCCCATCTACACCAGCCCGTAGCCATTGTTTTGCTTGCAGCGTCAGAGAACCTTCGATTGCTAGGTCACTGGAGGCCGCCGCTGTGGTGGTCTTGCGCGTGCTGCCGGAGACCGGAGGAGGACGCCGACACGGCGGCCGGCCGGGGGCGTAAGGCTGTGACGGCTGTCCGCGGCCGGGAATCGCTAGAGCGCCGCTGCTCCAGGTTCCTCCGGGGGCCCTCTTTGGATCTTTCTTTTCTATTTTCCTTGGATGCGTTTTGTCTGCTGCATTGAACATACGAGCTAAAGCTTCCATCGCTTTCTAACGGAAGCACAAGATTTTGCTTTCCTAATGCTGAATTTATGAAATAACTTTCTATCACACAAGTGCTTTTTTTTACTCTGAAAAAAGGCTTCAGACCTTTGGGATGCGACCCAGTGTCCCAGTCGCATAGTCATATTTCAAGTGTTCCAGATGAGAGACTTGTTCTAGGAGCAAAATAAAGTTTATTGAAACTAACCAGTTATATGTTTCTTTAATCAGTTATTCTTCTGCTATTCAGTTGTTTTGGTACATATGTATGGATGAACACAATTGTATGTGTTTGACAAAATGGCTACAAAGATGAAGCCACAACTGATGAGATGCACCTACTAGTATTAAATACTGAGATCTTTAAAAGAAAGGGCTAACAGCCAACCTATTAGCCCGCTTATTATACAGGTATATGTTGATGAACCAATCCTTCAAAATTTGACCTCCTATACCTAGAAATGAGTCCCTTATCCAGATTCCATCCCTCATTTATCTCTGCACTTTAACTGAACCCTCATTTCAGCCTCCCTATATTTCTCTCACCTATATTTTATACATAATTTCTAACTACCAACTCCAGCATTTTATAGATATTATTGGAAAGGATATTTGTTAACAATATTTTTGTATGGCTAAATATTGGAGAAATTATTTTTTCAGATAGTTTGTAACTATTATTTTTTTTGTTTGTCAGTCTTTGAATGGCTATATATTTGAACCGTCATTCTTCCAACGGCTATAAATCAAACGGTCGCCTTTTCAACGGCTATATTTCAAGTGTTCTATCTCCAACGGTTATATGTTTTCGATATAGAATTAGTTTAGGAAATAGAATGTCCATATATATATATATATATATATATATATATATATGGACATTCCATTTCATAAACTAATTCTGACATTGTGTTGCTTCTTCTCCACTAAAAATGAGTCGTCTCTCTCGACTAGATTCATCTTCCTTATCTGATGACGGTGATGATGATCTTGAGGACACCCTTACTGCATTACACCAAGCACACACTCAATATCAAGCTCTCCAGGCTCCACGATGTGGTGGTTCTATACCTGGGCGTCAGTATATTCATCGGGACAGAGAAAGTAGACACTGGAGGTTGTACAATGACTATTTCTTCGAAAATCCAACCTACGGGCCACCTTTCTTCCGGCGCAGGTTTGCTAATAGCCTGTAAATTTTTGTCTACCTTCTTTATCCACATTCCTATGTCCATGTTTGCTTAGTTTGGATTTGTCCCTCAGGTTTAGGATGTCTCGTACGCTATACCTTCGCATAGTGCAAGCTGTAGAGCAATATGATAATTACTTCGAGCAAAAAAGAGATAGAGTTGGACGGCTCGGGTTATCATCTTTGCAAAAGATTACTGTAGTTTTTTTATGATTAATTGTGGAGTACCAGCTGATTTCATGGATCAATACATTCGTATTGGTGAAAGTACTGTCATACAAAGCCTTAGAAGCTTTGTCAAAGCTGTTGTTGAAGTGTTTGGAGAGGAGTATCTGAGATCCCCTAATGAGAATGACACCGCTAGATTGCTTGCAATCGGACAGCGGAGGGATTTTCAAGGAATGCTTGGGAGTTTGGATTGCATACATTGGAGGTGGAAGAATTGTCCTAACCCATGGCGCGGACAATATACTGGGCATGAGCACGAGCCTACAATAATACTCAAAGCAGTTGCATCACATAATCTTTGGATTTGGCATGCCTTTTTTGGCTTACCAGGGTCACACAATGATATCAATGTTCTTCATCGTTCTCATCTTTTCGCAAAGCTAGCCGAAGGAGATGCCCCGGAAGTTAATTTTAGCGTTAACGGTAATAATTATACAATGGGGCACTACCTTGTAGATGGCATCTACCCCCAATGGGCGACATTTGTGAAGACCATATCAAATCCCCAAGGGAATAAGAAGAAATACTTTGCCAAGGCATAATAAGCGGTTAGGAAGGATGTCGAAAGAGCTTTTGGGGTTCTTCAAGCTCAATTTGCCATTGTTCGCGGATCAGCTCGTATGTGGGATAAAGCAACACTTAGACAAATAATGACAGCTTGTGTCATCCTGCACAACATGATCGTTGAAGACGAGCGCAGTGAAGACGAAGACGAAGATGGCTATTACGAGGGTGTCGGCCAGCTTGTGAGGCCTACTCCACGTGAAGCTCGTAATCATACACAGGAGTTCCGTGAATTCATACAAGCTCATCATAATATCACAAACAGGCAAATCCACACCCAACTTCAGCACGATCTTATCGAGCACCTTTGGCAACAACACCCGGACATGTATAAGTAGTGTACTGTCATATCCATGGTCTTGTACCCTCTATTTTATCAGTAATGTATCCTCTATTTTATGAGTCATGTATCAGTCATGTACCCTCTATTTTATGAGTCATGTATAAGTCTTGTACTCTCTATTTTTAGTCATGTATCAGTCAATTTTATCAGTCATTTGCGCACACAATTTAACAATCACTACCCCTTGGCAACATTGATATAATGATACCAACATGCCACCATTTATGAATTAATTTCAGGAATCACAAATCTCAAGTCAATCAATGAAATCACATAGTACACACGTCTTGTGCAACATACGAGAGTGGAGGGGTCACCTATATAAAATAATGCTTTCATGCTAGCTACATAATCTTGCACCCTAATTATTGTTGGTAATATTAATCCATAATATCAGCTAAGCTTCTCACACCTTGTGCATATTGCGAATTTTAGTTTGCCAAATTAATTTTCAGAACGCAGACCATGCAACATAGTTTGCCCATGCAGTGCTAGTTAACTAATATACAAGTTCCACGAACTTTAAGTGGCGCAGTCAGTTAATTTGATTCTAACTCTTATAACAGGCAAAAAAGCACAAGGCTACATGTCCTATAGCGTCACCGGGAATGGAGTTTTGGAGATGTGACTGCACATGAATATTCAACTGCAGTGGAGATCGACCGGGAATAATGGCAGCAT